TTGGAAGAAATCAAAGAAAGCCAAGAAAAAGTAATTAAATAGATGAAGGAAACAATTCAAGATTTGAAAATTGAAATTGAGACAATAAAGAAAACACAAACTGAGGGAATGCTGGAAATAGAAATCCTGACTAAATGAACAGAAACTATAGAAGCAAGCATAACCAAACAAATGCAAGAAATGGAACAGAGAATCTCTGACACTGAAGACACAATAGAGAAAATAGATTCGTCAGTCAAAGAAAACACTAAAGACAAAAAAGTTGTAACACAAAATGTCCAAGAAATTTGGGGCACCATGAAAAGACCAAACCTAAGAATAATAAAGATAGAATGAGAAGAATATCAACTCAAAGGCACAGAAAATATATTCAACAAAATCATAGAAGAAAACTTTCCTAACCTAAAGAAAGAAATACCTATGAAGATACAAGAAGCTTACAGAACACCAAATAGGCTGGATGCAAAAAAAAGTCCCCTTGCCACATAATAATCAAAACACTAAACATACAGAACAAAGAAAAAATATTAAGAGCTGCAAAAGGAAAAAGACCAAGTAACATATAAAGGCAGACCCATCAGAATAACACCAGACTTCTCAATAGAGACTATGAAAGCTAGACGGTCCTGGACAAATGTTATGCAGACACTAAGAGACCACGGATGCCAACCCAGACTATTATACCCAGCAAAACTCTCAATCACCATAGACGGAGTAAACAAAATATTCCATGATAAAACCAGATTTAAACAATACCTATCCACAAATCCAGCCCTACAGAAAGCTCTAGAAGGAAAAATCCAACCCAAAGAAGTTAAACACACCCATGAAAGCTCAGGCAACAGATAATCCCACACCAACAAACACCAAAGAAGGAAAATGCAACAGGGCCACAAAAAATAACAGGAATTAACCATCACTGGTCATTAATATCCATCAATATCAATGGTCTCAACTTACCTATAAAAAGACACAGACAAACAGAATGGATAAGAAAACAGGATCTATCCTTCTGCTGCATACAAGAAACACACGTTAACTTCAAAGACAGACACTGCCTCAGAGTAAAGGGCTGGGAAAAGGCTTTCCAAGCAAATGGACCTAAGAAGCAACTGGCATAGCTATCCTAATACCTAATAAAATAGACTTCAAAACAAAAGACCCAGGATAGCTAAAAGTATCCTGAATAATAAAGCAATCTCTGGAGGCATCACGATCCCTGACCTCAAGCTCTACTATAGAACTACAGTAATAAAAACAGCTTGGTACTGGCATAAAAACTGACATGTAGACCAATGGAATCAAATTGAAGACCCTGACATTAATCCACACACCTATGAACATATAATTTTTGACAAAGAAACCAAAACTGTACAATGGAAAAAGAAAGTATCTTCAATGAATGGTGCTGGCATAACTGGATGTCAACATGTAGAAGGCTGCAAATAGATCCATATCTGTCACTGTGCACAAATCTTAAGTCCAAGTGGATCAAAGACCTCAACATAAATCCAGTTACTCTGAACCTGATAGAAGAGAAAGTAGGAAGTAGTCTTGAACGCATTGGCACAGGAGATCACTTCCTAAATATAAGACCAGTAGCACAGACACTGAGAGAAACAATCAATCAATGGGACCTCTTGAAACTGAGAAGCTTTTGTAGAGCAAAGGACACAGTCAACAAGACAAAGCGACAGCCTAGAGAATGGGAAAAGATCTTCACCAACCCCACATCTGACAGAGGGCTGATATCTAGAATATATAAAGAACTGAAGAAATTAGACATCAAAATGCCTAACACTCCAATTAAGAAATGGGCTATAGAGCTAAACAGAGAATTGTCAACAGAGGAAGCTCAAATGACTGAAAGACATTTAAGGAATTGCTCAACATCCCTAATCATCAGGGAAATGCAAATCAAAACAACTCTGAGATATCACCTTACACCTGTTAGAATGGCTAAGATCAAAAACACTGAAGACGGCTTATGCTGGAGAGGATGTTGAGCAAGGAGAACTCTCCTCCACTGTTGGTGGGAATGCAAGCTTGTGTAGCTACTTTGGAAATCAATATGGTGCTTTCTTAGAAAACTGAGAATCAATCTCCTCCAAGACCCAACTATACCACTCTTGGGCATATTCCCAAGGAATGCTCAATCATACCACAATGGCACATGCTCAGCTATGTTCATAGCAGCATTATTTGTAATAGCCAGAACCTGAAAACAACCTAGATGCCCTTCAACTGAAGAATGGATAAATAAAATGTGGTACATATACACAATGGAGTACTACTCAGCAGAGAAAAGCAATGACATCATGAGGTTTGCAGGCAAATGGATGGATCTAGAAAAAATCATCCTGAGTGAGGTAACCCAGACTCAGAAAGATAAACGTGGTATGTACTCACTCATAGGAGGATACTAGATGTAAAACAAAGATGACTAGACTGCTACTCACAACTCCAGGGAGGCTACCTAGAAAGCAGGACCCTAAGAGAGATCAGTGATGCAAGGATAATAATAATAATAAAGGCAATAAACAGAAAGATGATTGCCAACATTAAATTAAATGGAGAGAAGCTCAAAGTGATTCTGATATAATCAGAAAGAATACAAAACTGTCCACTCTCTCCTTATCTATTCAATATAGTACTCAAAGTTCTAGCTAGAGCAATAAGACAACAAAAAGCGATCAAAGGGATACAAATTGGAAAAGAAGAAGTCAAACTTTTGCTATTAGCAAATGACAAAATTGTATATAAAAGTGACCTGAAAAGTTCTACCAGGGAGCCCTTACACCTGATAAGGTACTTCAGTAATGTGGTAGAATACAAGATTAACTAAAACAGATAAGTAGCCTTCCTATATACGTATGATAAATAGACTGAGAAAGAATTTAGAGAAACAACATCCTATAATACAGCCACAAAATATAACATACCATGGGATAACTCTAACCAAACAAGTGAAATATTTATATGACAAGAACTTTAAGTCTCTGAAGAAATAAATTAAAGAAGATATCAGAAAATAGAAAGATCTCCCATGTTCATGGATAGGCAGGATTAGCATAGTAAAGATGGTAATCTTATCAAAAGTAATCAAAAGGTTCAATGCAATCCCCCATCAAAATACCAACACAATTCCTCACAGATCTGTAAAGAACAATACTCAACTTCATGTGGAAAAAAAACATAGGATACTCCAAACAATCCTGTACAATAAAGGAACTTCCAGAGGTATCATCATCCCTGACTTCAAGAACTACAGTAATAAACATAGTTTGATATTGGCATAAAAGCCAACATGTGGATCAATGGAATTGAGTCAAAGACACTGGCATAAACCCACTCACTAGTGAACACCTGATTTTTGACAAACAAGCCAAAATTATACAATGAAAAAAGAAAGCATCTTCAACAAATGGTGCTGGCATAATTAGATGTTCTTGGTAAACTAAGGGCAAGGAGTCATGGGAGGATGGGAACTTGAGGGAATTGGTGGAGTGGACTGAGCACAGGAGGCAAATTGGGGACAGGATACAGGGAGAGTATAACAAAAGAGATGTTTTGATTGGGGGGAGCATTTCAGGGTTAGAGAAAAATTGGTGCCAGAGAAACTTCCAGGAATCCATAAAGATGACATCAGCTAAGACTCCTAACAATAGTGGAGAGGGTGCCTGAACTGGTCATCTACTGTAATCAGACTGGTAACTACCCTAATTCTTGTCAGAGAGTCTTTATCAAGTAACCAATGGAAGAAGATGCAGAGATCCTCAACCAAGCACTGGGCCAAACTCAGGGTATCCTCCTTAAGAAAGGAAGGAGGGATTGTATGAGCCAGGTATGTGTGGGGGGTCCAGTTCATGATGGGGAACTCACAAAACTGCTGACCTGAGCACATGGGAGCTCATGGACTATGGACTACCAGTTAGGGTGCCTGCATGGGATTGACATAGGCCCTCTGCATGTGTATGACCATTGTGTAGCTTGGTCTGTTTGTAAGGCTCCTATCTGTGAGATCAGGATCTGGCCCAGGTGCTTAGCTAATGTGTTGCCCAAGCTGGATTATCTTGATACAAAAGGAGGAGCTTGGTTCTACCTCACCTTGATGTCTCATTCTTTGTTCAAGCCCATGGGAGGCCTGACCCCTTTCTGAATGGAGACAGAGGAGGAATAGATGGGGAGGGGCTTAGAGAATAGGTGGTGGGGAGGGAATGGGAGGAGAGGAGGGAGTGGAAACTGTACTTGTTATGTAAAATAAACAGGAAAAATATTAAGTAAAATAAATTTAAACAATGTATCAGGCATGGGAATGTGCCAAGCAATGGAAAGTAATATCCAACTTCGTCTTACAGGCAGAATTCTGAAAGTATGTGAGCACATACAACCACCCCTATAAACATTAAGTTGGCTGAATTTCTTTCACCATATTGAACTTCTTTTTCATGGTCTTGTTTCTTTTCTAATTGTTTCCTCTAAAGCAGTCAATCAAAGAACACTGAATAGTGCTAGAAGAAACAAAGGTGTTATCTCAGAGAGGATAGTGGAAGTAATATTCAAGTAGAGAATTTATATTAGATATATCCCTTTAATAATTTCCTTCTGTTTTCTTGCTCCATCAGATTATGAAACAGAGTGGATACCTTTCCCTATCCATGAAAGTCCTTGGAAAATATTGAATTTTTCTCTCTTAACTATGTGGTTCCTTGAGGCATAACACACATACTATGTTTATTATGTCAGAAGCCATATTTGCTTGACATAAGTAATAGCATTTTGTTTTGTTTTGTTTTTTATTCTTTTTTATTTTCTCTTGTTTTTGAGACAAGGTTTCTCTGAGTAGCCCTGGTTGACTTGGAACTCATTTTATAGACCAGGCTGACCTTAACCCCGGAGATCTCCTTTCCTCTGTCTTCCAAGTGTTGGGATTAAAGGCATGCACTACCACTGCCCCATGAAAGCATTTTGTACACAATAAATTATAAGCCAGTTCTTACCTTTAATTCTTTGACAATTTCTTATTGAGAATATTGTATACCACAATTTATCTGGGACAAAATACTTCTGTTTCTTTTGTATCTTTGCTTTGCATGTGTATTCATTGTATGCTTCATATCAAGAGTCTTAAAGCCTTCATTTCTTCACTCCCTTGGGGAAAAATATTAAATGTGTTGATTTCAATTGAACCTTGATGATCTGGTAATATTTTGAAATGAATCTTTGTGGTTATGTAATTTTCTTAGTTGAGAATCTTCATGTGTTTGCTTCATTATCTGTGGTCCTTTTGCATCTACTTACTCAATTTTTTACTCAGCAGCTATTTTCCTGAATTGTGGGTCAGATTCAAGAGATGATTTGAAGTAGGTCCTACAGTAGGTTGTGGTTTCTGATTTTGACCATTCAAAGTTGAGTGAATACACTCAGTTTGCAAACAATAACATATATTTCAATGAACATGAAGGACATACTTCACACATAATCATTCAAGTTTGGCATAGCTTTAATGACAATGATCATAAATTAAAGAAAATATATGAAGAAGAAATCATGATGCTAAGAAGGCTTGATTATTTCAGCAAATCATGAAAGCTTTCATGGTCATTAACTATGACCGATATGATTGCCATTAGCATCCACTGATACTCTTGCTTTCTTAAATCTTGACAAACCCAATGTCAGTTACTATTGAAGAAAGCTTCCTCACTCAATAATCAAACGTTGATGAACATTATAGAAAAAGAAAAAGGAAAGACACAGTCCTTGAAAATACTCATTATGAAGGCTAAGAGCCCTGCCAGCCCTTCCTTGCAATTTAGTTAATATAATAAGGCCATATTCTGTTGACAGTGCTAGTGAGCAGGTAAGTGCATTTTTCCAGGGCTTACATCTTTTTTGATTCCATCATTTCAACATTTGCACTTTTCTATCAATTATTTATAAATCTATACTGTCCTATTAATTACAGTGCTACTCAGAGTGAAAGAAATATAGCAAGTATTAGGGTACAATTGAGAAAAGATTCCCATTTCTCAACAGCTAGTATACTAAAGCCAGCCTGAACTGTTATATGCTATTGGTGAAAACTGAAGAGAGAAAGCCAGGATCTGAAAGCTTCATTGATCTTATCAGAATATCCTACATCTGGACATCACATTGCTATTTGTATGATCTACTCAGCATTCTCAGACAGTTATTGTCATCATCATTCAATCCAAGATCTCTCTCAACATGTATTTTCATAGCCAAGCAAAACCTTGGAAAGTCTATCTACTTTGTTTGATAAGGAAGAAGACGATTTTGCAGAAGACACGTTGCTCAGTTGCTGAACAGAGGCACTAAATCAGTCAGAATGAATAAATTGTCATTTGTTTGTTAGAAATGAGAAATAAATAAGTTATCAAAATACTGTACTGTGAAACCATTACTAGTAAAAAAAACCCTGAAACTCCTTCTGAATTGACTTTCTGTCCTAAAATCTGTTTTTCTTGATGTAAAATGAAACTATTGCCAATGATTGTCAAATGTTGTGGTTTCTTTATAAAAGATCTTTTAGTCAGCATCCTGTGTTAGGATATAATGAGACCACATTCATTAGTGTCATGTGTGAGTGAATCCTCTACTTTATATTCCTCTTGCCCATCTCCCAGCACAGTTTTTCTTTACTATTTCTACTTGCAATTATCAATACACTCTTCACTTTCTGAAACATGTATTCCCTGCCTACCTTCTTCCTCGTGGCTCCTGTTTTCCTTTTAGGACAAAAACCTTAGGCAGCCCTACATCAATATACTTAAATGGACTGGCTAGATACCAGATGTGTTGTTTTTGTTTTTGAGTCAGGATTACATGCTTCTGAATCATCAATTCCATATGAATTTGTTCTCCTGAAACTATATATTTAGAGATGCATGGCTTCCTAAATGCAAATATAAAACATTTTCTTCATTTGCTTATGGATGAAAATATAATTTGTACCATGGCCTTGCTCTTATGTAGATTGGCATAAGTATAATGAATTTTTTATGTATGTTATAAAAAGAAAATTTATTAATTCTTAGGAAATAATTAGAGGAAATCTGTAAAATGGTATGCTAATTTCAAAGTATTCAAAATACAAAGGATCGGCCGGGCAGCAGTGGTGCATGCCTTTAATTCCAGCACTAGAAAGGCAGAGCCAGGCGGATCTCTGTGGGTTCAAGGCCAGCCTGGTTTACAGAGTGAGGTCCAGGACAGGCACCAAAACTACACAGAGAAATCCTGTCTCGAAAACAAACAAACAAACAAACAAAAATACAGAGGATCCACTCTTAAAATACATATCTGTGGTTCTTTTCCATTTCAGCATGCAGTAGTCTACTTATCGGGTGAATCATGTATTCTTATATTATACTGCTCTAGTGTTCATCTGCTTTCTTTCTCAACCTACTTTCAAGATCTCAAACACCAGGTTCTTTCTTAATATATCTACATATCAAAAGGAAGCTCATATGTGCTGATAAGAAACAACACATGCTGTTTTTGTTTTTAAGTACTATATTACTTCCCTGAGTATCATCAGTTTCAAAAATCCATTTTCCTGATATTGTATAATGTTAAATTTATGGCTTAATCATTAGCAAATGCTTATATATAAAATATTGTCTTCGTACATTTATCTGTGGATAGACATCTAGTCTGGTGCCAGATCTTTGGTGTTGTGAGTAGTGTAACAAGAAACATGAATAGTAATACCTCTGTTTTATGTTAGAAAACCTCAAAAAATGTCTTGGAAATAATGTGAAAAAAAACTGAAACATGGTGTACTGATTACAAAGTAGTTAATATATAGTAGATCCAATCTGAAAATACATTTCTAAGGAACTCCAATAGTACCTAAAGCCCATGTGCTTCATTCAAGAGACCTATACTCTGCCTAGCTGTAAGCAATTTGGTATGAGTCCTAGCAAGGAAGAAATAGAACATTAATGCTGAGATGGCAAGATTGAATGAAATAGTGAAAAACCTTAATGTTAATTCTCTGAACTACATAGCTGAAGAGTGAACCTTCATTTAAAGCTGGATACTTAACTTATGACTGCATATTAATCACCAGTTTGTTATCATCAGTCAGAAGCCAAGCTTCATAGATACCTGGTTTCCACGTCACTAGCTTATGCCAATTATATAACAATATGTGTCCTGGAAATTCAGAGTCTTAAACAAAGGGGAAAATAAAAATGTTTGTTGAAAGAAGAAAGAAGCACCTTTCAAATGAGAGACTTCATTAAATGTGCATACATTCAGCTGTTGATCTCCCAGACCCTGAGTTTATGTCTCGTTTAGTCAAGTAACTACAGCACTATTCAGAGTAAAAGAAATGAAGCAATTCTTGGGTCACATTTGGGACACTCTAAAGATATCTATTTCTTCAAAAGCTAGGATCATAAATCAGGCCTAGGTCTAAATATTCTAAGCCAAGCTTTGAAAATATCACTTGTCTTATAGGTGGGAATTTTTAGCTCAGACTGAAAATTGTATGAATTGGTTAGCATCCCCAGATACTATCCATTAGAGCTCTCTATCAGCAGATGAACATATCCACAGCCAGGCAAAGTATGGGCAAACATGTCTTCTATGATGTGAAAAAAGAAGACAATTGTCCAGTAGACTTTTTGCAATCTGTACATTGTACCTGATAAATTCAGCATAAATAAATGTGTCATGGGTTGCTCAAGGTAAATTAGAGATAAGTGAGGCAGTATAAATAATAGAAAACTTGAAGTATTCATCTGAGATGACTGAATTGTTATAAAAATATGCTTTACATAAAATGAAAAAAGGGGCTTTTGATTGGAAAATGTTACATGTTCTTTCTAAAAGGAACTTTCAACTAGCATACAAAGTTGGAAGTTTCATGAGATATTTAGGAGTACTGTGTTTTCATAGTTCCTCCATTCCCTGCTCCTTTCCTTCATCACTTATGTCCACTTACACTTTCTCATTTCAGGCTGCAACAGTTAGTAATCTGTTCACTTTCTAAAAGATATGTTCTCTTATCCTTCTGGCCCTTTATATTTCTTCCTTCATGGTTCCACTTTTATCTTTAAGATATTAAACCACCCTCACCCATACATTAACATGTATATGTATCAAGAGGACACTCAGATGTGCACGTGAGAGACAGCATATCCAATTTGTATTATTTGAGTCTAGATTATTTGCTTCAGTATCACCATAAATTATATAAGTTTAGGCTTATGCACTCATCAAAATAATATAATTATATATATATATATATATATATATATCACATTTCATTTGTGCCTTAGTCAGTGGATGGGCACCTAGTCTGGTATCATGCCTTTGCTCTAGTGACCAGTGCAACAAGACACATGCATGTGCATTATCTCTGTAAGAGGAAGGAAAATGCTTTAAAGCATGCTTAGGAAATAAACAGAGAGCACTTCTAATGTGGCATCCTAATTACAAACGAGTTAAAACACAATTGATCCAGTTTGAAAATTCATTTCTAAGGATCTCTGACTCCCCCAAAACCTATTTATTTATGTCAGTGTTCTTGGGGCCTTCACGTTGTACAGTGATGGTCCTTGCTTTCATCACTGGGGATACAGAAACCTATTGGAAATTGAGAATTAATGTTTGCATGCTAGATATGAGTGAGATAGGGATCTTAAGAGGCTTTAGCATTGATGATGCAAGCTCCAAAACTGAAAACCTCACATTAGAGCTGAACACTAAATTTAGAACTGCTTTCTGTACACCAGTGAACTGTTTTCTGTTTAGGAAGATTAAAGCCTGAGTAGATGTTTGATTTAATGACACTACCTTCTCTCAGTTATTCCTCGATTACTGTCTCATAAATCTAGAACCTTTTCTAAAAGAAAAATAAGAAAAATGATGCCTTGTTGAAAGAGGGGATGGTACTCTTCACAATAGAGACCTCAGTAAAAGCATTCTCACATGGTCACTGATCTACATCTCTGAGTATATGATATCAAGAACCTGAGAAAACAAAATGGACATCAACAGAAACAATGTCATGGCTTACCTGATTTCTCTGAAGTACAAGCAACTCTTCAGGCTTATAACCTGAAACACAATACATATAAAATAAGTCAGTAAAGACAATGCCTCAAGGCAATATAAAGTAATATCCAAGTTTGGCTACCTTATATCTTTTTTCTGTTTCATGGTAATTTGTAATGTACTGGTTTCAATTCTACTTTCATGTTCTGGGAAATTCTGTAAGACATGCATGTGGTTCTGTTTTTGTTTTTGTAGTTCAGCATCTTTTTGTATCTGTATCTTTATTGATGGTTGTTGTGGATCTGCTTATCTTGTTATTTTATTAACAGTTTGTATTTCGGAGTTGTAGATCAAAGGGCAGCTTACACCCATGCCCCAAGAGGTTTATAGATTGTTTGTGAAAATAAGTGCTGAAGTCCTTGGATCTTCTCCAGACTTGGAATTGTTGACAATTATTTTCAATTTCCTGTTAGCAGTACACCCTCCTACTAATACTTATGTTTGTTACAAACTTCTACTTCTCTTGCACATAGTTGAGTATGGTCATTGTTGAATCTTAACTGTCCCCATTGTCATTTTCCTGCTGATCCACATTTGTTTTGATATTCATTGAATGGTTTCACTGTGCTGGAAATGGCCCTAATTGTATCTTGGGACTAGGAGGCATTGAGTTACAGGATAGTGTATGCTGTATAAAAAATAAAACTTGGTCCCTTTTCTGATAATAAAAATAAATTGTCAATGATTCTCCGATGTTATTTGTTCTTTCTAAAAGAGACATTTAATTTCAATTCAAAGGTACTGGTTTCATGATGTCATGCCTATACATTCTTATCTTGGTGGTTCCTCAAATTCCTGCTCCTCTTCCTTATCACCCATCCTAACTTTCAGATTTCTATGTCTACCTAAAACAGTCAACTCTCTATACTTTTTCATGTCACAATTATCTCTTATCTTCTTCACTGCTGTTTATTTCATCTGTTATGGTTACAGTTATCTTTTTGGGAACTAAACCTATACTCCCTCCTACATAAATACACATTTATAACAAGTAGAAGCTCAGGTGTGCAGGTGAGAGACAAGATATGCTGTACTTGTTTCTAGATAAAATACTTTTCCTGAAATTAAATAATTTTTGGCTTTACAGCTTTCAATTTTACATATACCATGTTTTATTTATGCTTTTAGTTACGTGATAGCAGTTTTCACTCTGTTACACTAGTGAGCATGTCTTACCTTTCACTCAGTATTTCAACATAGAATGTCTCCAGGTGTAAGAGCATTTGTGTGTTTTCTTACCTATCAATCTACATAACACCATCTGGCAATAGTAAATCTGGCAGGCAGGTTAAAAAGAAAAGTTTCCTGGACTTTTTGAGACTGTTTTATCTTCATCCTACAACCAAAATGTGTGGAATCTTCAGCAATACAGTGCTACCATGTAGTTAAGGATGGTAACTGTGGGCAATGGCAGCATCCTGCTCTTTTTGGTACAATCGAAGTATCAGTGACCAATTGCTTATATGGATGGATCCCATGCCTTGAAACATAATTCATAGTATGGAAGCTGTATTATCTACCCACGAAGATTAATTTTACTATCATCCTTCATATTTAGTTATATGTTGAGATTAGTTTACTAACTAATGCTCTTCAATAAAGCATTAGTTATATCTAACCAAAAACATCTGCTGTTTGGAATACTTTTCAAAGTATCAGAAGATGGTATGCTATCTACCAAGAGCAAAACAATCAATAGTCCCTCCCATGCCTGGATAGATGGCTCAAAGATTCAGAGCATTGACTGCTTTTCTAGTTCTCCAAGTGTTATTCCACATGATTGCTCACAACTGTCTGTAGCTCTAGCCTCAGAGCAATGCCCTGTTCTAGTCTCCTTGGCATGAGGCATGCAGGTGGTGCACACACATATATGCATGGAAACATGCATACACATAAAATAAACATAAAGGAAAAAATTAAAAATAGTCTTACACAGCTATGATACTCATGAACTAAAACCATTACCATTATGGTAATTTATTCTAAAAGATAGAATAGTGGCACTTATGTACTGACAGTAGTGAACAGCTGTCTTATTGGGAATCAACATCCTCTTAGTAGGAAATCATTCCTGCTATCATAAACCTAACCAAATGCATGTGGACAATGAAGTCATGGATCAGAGGATAGTACCTACTATCTCTACTTTCCTAAACCAGTTTAATTCCTAACTGCATTCTAAATACATATTCTTATACAGAGAGATTATTGTATATATCATCCTTCACAAGAGATGATTCTTTTTTCAGTAGAGGACCATTACAGAAAGCCACCACTAGTCAAAATTCAGAGAACAATTGACAATAGGGTGCCTTTTTCCATTTGATACATCCACAACACAATTCCTATAACTAAGATTCAGAGAACACAGTGAAAGAATAAAGAGAAGGATTATAAAAGCCAGAGAATTGGGACATCTAGCTACAAAAGGGAACTATATCCACAAAATAACAACAATATGCTACCCAACAAGACCTTTACAATAACAACACCAGCTGACATCCCAGTATAGATGGGTTAAATGTTATAAGACTTGCCTATTGGTTACAAGCTATAGGAAATTAACACCTGCTGAGAGAGGGAGAATTTGTTTTCCCCAGGGATTGGTCCCTGAAATATTATCTAATATCAAGTGGTCTGCCCTAGAAACATATGCATGCAGGTAACACTAAAGAAACTCAGCTAGTTATATTCATATATTCATTCATTTATATGTACACATAACAAGAATGGTTAAAGAAAAGGAAGCTCTGAATTGGTGAGGCAGCAGGGGAGTCCAAATACCCATGGGTTTGTAATTTTTAACAATAAATCCAAGAAATACAAGCTGGAAAAGGATACTATCTTCACCAAATGGTACTGGTCAAACTTGATGGCTACATGCAACCAGATCCATATTTATCACCCTTTACAAAACTCAATTACAAATGTCTCAAGTACTTCAATATATAGCCAGATACCCTGAATCTGATAGAAAATAAAGTAAAGGATACTAATGAACTCATTGGAACAGGAAAAAGACTTTCTGAATGGGACACCAATGACATGGTCATTAAGAACAACATTAAATGACACTTCATGAAACTGAAATGATTCTGTATGGCAAGGACACCATTATTTAGACAATGTAGAAGGCTACCAATTGAGAAAAGATGTTTTCCAACTACACATATAACAGAGGGTGAATATCTGAAATATATAAAAGAACTAAAGAAAATAAACTGGACAACTAGAAAACAAATAACTCAATTTTAAAAGTTGATGTACAGTTCTAAACAGAATTCTCAAAGGTAAAATACAAATGGCTGAGAAAAACTCAAAGAAAAGCTCAACAACTTAGTCCTCAGGGAAATTCATATGAAAATGACTTTGAGATTTCTTCTTACATGAGTGAGAAGGGCCAAGATCAGTAAAACAAATGATAGTTCATGCTGGTAAGGGGAAAACTCATCCATTGCTGATGGGAGTGCAAACTTCTACAGCCAATCTGGAAGTCAATGTGGTGGTTCCTCAGGAAGTGTAGAATAAATTTACCTCAAGTTCAATCTATGCCACACTTGACATAGATCAAATGACTATATATCCTACTACAGAAATATTTACTCTGTATGTTCTATTCATAGCAACTGGAAATGAAAAATTGCCCAGATGCCCATCAACAGATTAATGGATAATGAAGATGTGATACATTTGCACAATTGAATTTCATTCAGCTGTTAAAAAATGAAAACATGAATTTCACAGTTAAATGTATAGAGCTAGAAAAATCAAACTGAATGAGGTAACACATACCTAGAAAGACAAATATGGTATGTACTCCCTTATATGTAGGTGTAAACTATTAAGTTGTTGATAAATAAGCTACAATCTATTTAAACACAGAGGTTAAGTATAGAACAAAGGACTGGGGTGAATAGAGGATCCCCAAAGAAGGGGGAAATAGAGTATATAGCTATGGAGAGAGACAATGAGGAGACTGAAATATGAGGAGGAAATGGAGAGGGATGAAGACGAGGGTAAATGAGGGGAAACCAAGAAGGATGGCTAACTCTAAGGAACATTTCATGGATTATATGGAAACCCACAACACCAAAAGAATCTAAAAGTATGTCCATTTACAAAAGAAATTTAAATACAGTCATCAAATAATGGGAAAGACAAATCCCTAACTCGCTATCTATCTGTCACTACCAAGTGAAACCTCCAGTGCCAGAAATAGAGTACATCTAATTGAAATTTTGATCACATGAAGAAATCAAACCACTGAGGCAACTGTTAAAGCTATTGATTGTTATCCACAAACGGATGATAAGGTGCTATTTCTGAGGACAACACCTACATATCTGATTGAACAGAGAAATTTAACTGGTACCTAACTTGAGCCTTTGGTTGCTACTATTGACTAGTATTCACCATATTGGAAACTATTCACATTACAAGATGTGAAAAAGGAAGGAATTTATTAATATAAATCAGTAAACCAGAAAATATCTAAAGTGAAGAGGAAACTAATAATACTTATATTTCAACAATAACCATAAATGTAAGTGGTATTAATTTTCAAATCTAAGACACAGACTAATTGGCCTGTTGTTTATCTGCAAGAAACGTGGTTATCAGCCAAAGATTTACGCAGACTGAAAGGCAAAGAATTACAAATGATATTTCAAGAAAACAAAATCTGACAGCAGAATAGAGTTCCATGCTTATATCTGAAAAAGTAGATTTCAGGTTAAAACTGTCAGAAAAAAAAGAGGTCAATAATTTAAAATTAAAAATGGGATGAGGGATGAGGGAAATGGCTCAATAGTTAAAAGTACCTGTAGCTCTAGCAGATAACATGTACAACTGAAAGAACCCACATGAAGACTAACAACTGTTTGTACCTCCAGTTCCAGAAGATTCAATTTTCTTTTCTGACCTCTGCAGACACTAGACATACAGGCAGTACACATGCACATATGTAGAAAAACATACATATACATAAAATGAAAACAAAAATAACTTTGAAAAATGAACAGTTTATCAAGAAACTCCAATAATTATAAACATGTATTATTGGGTATCCCACAAAGACCCAGATGATCTAATGCGGACTTTCAATGCCCTACTCTAATCAATATAGAGTTCATTCATAGAGAAAAGAAAGGTCAAGAAAGAAAATTCAGAGTTTAAACTATGCCATTGATCAAATGGGCTTTAAAAATATCTGAAGAAAATTCTATATGATAATATTAAAATATTCATTTATCTCAGCACATCATGGAACTTTCTTTAGAGCAGAGCAGGTTTTATGCCATGAAAGAAGTCTTAGCAAATGGAAAGAACTGAGATAATTTCTTATATCTGATCAGACTGTCATGAAATAAAGAGAAAAATAAAGAAACTAGAAAAGATATGGAAACATAAAGGAATGGTGCAATGTACTTTTCAAAGCTAGGCGGATTACTCAAGAAATTGCAGGGTGGGGCATGTTTAAACACTTGGAATCAAAGGAAAATGAAACACAATTTACCAGAACCTTTGAGATTCAGCAAAGGAAATTGTAAGACAATTTTTGTATCTTTGGCAGCCTATAATTTAAAACAAGAGAAACCTCAAACAAATAATCCAGTAGTATACCTAAAACTCTTATAAAAATGAGAACTAGACAAATACAAAAGTAATAGAAGGAAAGAAATAGTGAAAATCAGGGAATAAATTAATGAAATCAAGAATAGACTAGAAATTATCAATGAGACAATGCTGATTCTTTGAAAAGACAAACAATAATAGCAAAACCTTATTCAAACTACCCAAAAGAAAAAAAGAGAAACAATACAAACTAATACAATTATTCATGAAAAGGAGATTATTGCAGCTTATACCATAAAGCCATATTATGAGATATCCTGAACACATATTTTCCAATCAATTTATCATTTTAGAAGAAATGTTTGCACTTAATGCCACATATGACCTACTAAAATTAAATTGATTTGATATAAGCAACTAACACATTTATAATAACTTTAAAGCAATAATAGTCTTCTCCAAAAGAAAAGAATAGGACTGGAATATTCACTGCTCAATTCTGTAAGACCTTTAAAGAACTAATTTTTCAAAAATTATTTCACTGAAAGAACATGGATCTCTGGATAAGTTTGCAGAGAAGAGTATGTCTCTGTGATCAGGTAAAGGAGACAGAACAAGAACAAATACAAATTACCAGTTGTAGTGGTGCAACCAGATAACCCCAGCACGCTGGAGACAACAGCACATAGATATCTATGAGTTTAAAGCCAGCCTGATCTACATATTAAATTCCAGGACATCCAAGACTACATAGTGAGAACTTGTCTTAAAAACAAAAACAGCATATGTGTGTGTGTGTGTGTGTACACATATACATTTGTATGTATGTATAGGTGTGTGTGTGTGTGTGTGTGTGTGTGTGTGTGTGTGTGTGATACAGTTTCAGAAATTGATTAATGAAGTGTACCAGTACCTAAAGACAAACAAGAAAAAAAGAAAGTGCAACCCACAAAAGTAAGCCACCCACTGCCTTGTGTGCACAGTTCAGAGGTAGCAAGGGGAGGATAACAGAGTCTGCTTCCAATAGGTAAATAAGATGAAGTGTGGGCAGCATACCATCATGACAGGCAACAGCCCTCACAAGTCTTAAATCTAGATACAATTTTTGGTGACACAATGATTCATTTGATGTATGTGTTATTGGCAGAGAAAAATCCTATTTTATGACTCTGAGGACAGTGGCCTGTGCTCGTCTGAGATGAAATAGATTTAAAAACTGAGCTATTATCAGGGCCTGTGATCAGGGAACATTCACAGGCATGCCATAACTTGTGGATTATAGAAAACTCAGCAAGGAAATCATGTACAGAAGGAGAAATGGACTCTGAAAAGCCAGTGTTTACATGTGCCAAGAGCTTTGCTCAAGTTGGAAAGTGTATGGGGAAACATGATCCTATCTTCAGTGGACAGTGGCAGATCATATCAATTGATAATTAAAATGTGTTAAATAGCTCTGCTGCTAAGGAAAATGGATATATTAAATTCTCAAATTATCTTTCTCTTGTTCACTGAGGTAGAGCACAAGCACTAGAAAGATGTAGAAATATGCATGATTCCCACAGCTCCATCTTCCCAGAAAGGTGGTTACTGCTCAAGAGGTCTTCTTCACCTGTATTGATCTCAGTACTGTAGTTACTTCCTACACTCCCAGAACTTTTGGCAGGCATCTACATCAAAAACGTTATCCACTTCATAGTGGGCCCTGGGGAGTTATGAGAAAATCTGCTTGCACACAAAGTGCAAAGCTAAGTGTGGATAACAGAGACCTCCTCCTACTCAAAGAAGAAAAACTATTGAATTTAAAGACGTCTTTGGTGGATATGACACTTGTCCAATATAAACTCAGAAACAAGCATAAAGATGTATTCATAAGCACAACTAACAACATTTGTGCTCCATGCAGTCTCTATTTTATGAGGACCCCAAAAGAACCTACTCTAACAAACTTTCTTTATCCCTGATGATTTGTTTGTCTTTCTACATGATTAGCAAAATTCTACTTTATTGTAATTTTAAGTTTAATTTTTAACGTGTTATTCCTTTTCACATATACATCTATGTTTATGTATTTTTTCCATTTCTTCTTTTTAACTCCTGTCTTCTTCCCTCATGTCTACATTAGAGGTATTTTGATTTTACTGTATTCTTTCCATGATATTTTTATGTCCATTTTTACATTCATCCACATATTTTGGACTTTTTCATTGTTGGTATTTATATTTTTTCTAATCACTTGCTCTTTCTTTTCCTCTCTATGACACTCTGCTCTACCCACTTCTCTTACTCCTCTTATGAAACCTTCCCTCTTCTCTATTAATTCTCTTATACCAATTCACTTACCAACTATTTCTAACTTACTTTTAATATTTTTAAAGACTTGTTTTTTATTTATTAGGTATATGTATCTATACATGAATGTAGATATGGATTGAGTGAAGTGACCATAGAGTCCATAAGAGGGCACTGAATCCCTTGGAGAAGGATTTATAAGTAGTTGCTAGCCACTTCACATGGGTATTAGGAATTGAACTTGGGTCCTCTGAAAGAGTATCACATGCTTTTATGAATAGAGCAGCATAGTTGAGCAAATGTCTCTGTGGTAGGATATGAAATTGGGAACAGCCTAAAAGTGGTACAGTTATTCAATGAAATATTACACAGCTGTTAAAAATGAAAATATGAAACTCACACATCGCTGAGGCAGGAGAAGAGGCTTAGACCTGCCTCTAATGAATGTACCAGGCTCTGCTAACTCCCCATGGGAGGCCTTAACTTCTTGTAGGAGGAAATGGGGTATGTTGCGGGGCAGGCTGGAGGGCCTGGAGGAGGGAAGATGAGGCTCTGTGATTGGTATGTAAAATGAATTTAAAAAAATTCTTAATAAAAATTAAAAAATAGCCGGGCAGTGGTGGCGCACGCCTTTAATCCCAGCACTCGGGAGGCAGAGGCAGGTGGATCTCTGTGAGTTCGAGGCCAGCCTGGACTACCAAGTGAGTTCCAGGAAAGGCACAAAGCTACACAGAGAAACCCTGTCTTGAAAAACCAAAAAAAAAAGAAAGAAAATATGAAGTTCTCAGGCAAATGCAAGGAGCTAGAAAAAATCATACGGAATGAGGTAGCCTAGACCCAAAATGATAAATATGCTATGTATTTGTCTATTTGTGGATGTTAGCTGTTAAGGTTTTGTTAAGCAAACTATAATCCATATAACCACAGAGGTAAGGTATAGAGTAAGGGACCATGGAGGAAGATGGGTTCTCCCTAGAAAGAGGAATTAGAATAGACAGTTATTGATGGATAGGGGTGAGATCAGGAGAATAGAACAGGAGAATGAAATAGGGAGGGAGAAGGGAGAGTGGGATAAGGAAGGGAATACAGGGAGAGAGATAAAGCTACAGGTCATTTGAAGGATAGTATGGAAACCTAATGCAGTATAAGCTTCCTAAAATACATACATATGTGAAAGAAATCTAAAGGGAATCATCAAATAACAGGGGAGATAAAGTCCCAACTAGGCATCTCTCATCACCAAACGAAACCTTCAGTTCTGGAAACAGGTTACATAGAATAGAGTTGTTGGCCAAAGGACTTGATGGACACCATCAAGCATTCATGGCTATTACCAAACCTGCTGGTTGCTCTCCATAAACTAATGGTATGGGCCTATTGCTAAAGACAACATCTACACTTGTCATTGAACACAGAGAAGTCAAGCTGCTACCTACATAAGAGCCTTCACCCCTATGGACTAGTGTTCATGATATTAAAACATATTCCACCCACTACCAGAAGAGACAGGTAAACACCAACCCAGATACAAACCCTTTGTTCTACAATGGTGACCGGTGCATTATTAGTTTGTGCAATAGTAGCCCAAAGCTTGTGGGGATAACCAACAACTGCGTGATTGGATTTAAATTCCACTCCATGACATGAAACCCATGCCTGACACTGCTCAGGTGAACAAGAACCTGAGACTAGAGATTCCAAGGACCTGGTCAAATCTAAATACAACTGTTCTACTAAAGAAACAAGGCAAAAATGACTTCTAACAACATTCTGCTATACTTATAATTTTGTCCTTTGCTCAGAGAAGTTTATTCCTGAAGAAGAAGAAGTAAACAAATATGAAGACTCACAAGAGAACAAAGTACAGAGAGTGGGAGAGCTTGGTGCACTCAATACTAAATGGGTTGTCTTGATCAAATCCATCCCATCATAGCTTAGGGAAGCCTGTGGAAGAGGAAGCAGAAAGATGGTAAGAACCAGTGAGGATGGAGGACATCAAGGAAAAAAATACTTTCTAAACACAGCACGATTGATACACATATGAACTCAGACAGGCTGCGGCAGTCCTTATACAAAGATCTAAACCAGATGGTGTCTCAGTAATGAAAGAAGAAGTGGGCACAAGAATCCATCCAAATCAAAGAAGCTATCTCTAATTGCTAATCACTCACAAAGAAAAAATTAATCTTCTCCAAGTGAATTTCACTGGTATACAAACCACCCATAAAGACAGACCACATGCTGAACAGTAGATAAAAAACAAAGTGAACTCGATTGCATTTTTGGAGGCTCCTTGTCTCATAATTCAGTGTCTGGACATTATTTTTCTTTTTGTCCATTTTTCCTTACAGGTCTTTTGCATATGCATTATTGTTTCTGATGATCTCTTTTTATGCAATTTCTCTGTGTTTTAGTGTGTGTGTCTCCTTGTCTATATGTGTTTCTTGTACTCTTTCTTTGGATCTTTTTCTCCTGGTAGTTCACTTTGTCCTTTTTTAATCTTATCATTAATTTTTCTTGTCTGTTTGTACCCAAATGGGAGAGAGAAAGAAAGGGTATGGATTTGGGTGGATGAGGGGTCAAGGAAGATCTGAGAGGATTTGGGGGAGAAGAAACCATAATCAGATTATATGGTATGAAAAAATATATCTTCAACTACAAAAGTAAGTAATCCATGCTCTTAGCCACTGAACAATCTTTCCAGATCACCTTTAAAATTTTTTAATTTCACAGAATACTCTGCATGAGTTTTGTGGGTTTTTTTCACTTTTATGATCACAGGTAACGTGTTTATTTTCCCCTTGCTGAGTAATATTGAGATTGAGCCTTTATGAGTAGGCTTCTCAATCAGAGATTCCTCCCCATAAATCTTGAAAAGAAATCCAAACAAACAGATGTACAAATAATGATCTACAAATTCCAGAACCAAGAAAACTCAAATCAACATGACTTTTTCAAAAAATGATAACCCCTCAGCTAGTAAATTTAGAGCTTCTGAAATGAGTAAAATGCCCCATGAAGAATTCAAAGATTTGGGGGCAAAAATGGTCAATGATCCAAAAGGAGATACAGACTATCACATTAATTCAATCTAAGACAAGAAAGGAGAGTTAGTAACACAGAGGAAAATAGTCTTAAAATGAATAAGAAAACAAGCAACATGAGTGAAAATGTCAATTGAAAGAAAAAAATCAACAAGTAAATTGAGATTCTTAAAAAAAAAACAGACTTGAGATTAAAGACCTCAAAACTAAAGACTAAAGGTAACAAGTAAAAAAATAACATAGCAAAGCATCACCAATTGTCTTAGTTAGGGTTTCAATTGCTGTGGAGAGACACCATGATGAAAGCAACTCTTAAAATGGAAAATATTTAATTGAGGTGGTTGTTTAAAGTTCAGAGATTCAGTTCATTATCATTAAGTCAGGAAACATGGTGGCATGTAGTCAGACACAGTGCTGGAGAAGTAGTTGAGAGTCCTACATCTTTCAGGAAGTAGGCAATCAACTGAGGGTCACACTCAGCAAAGCTTGGGCAAAAGAGATCTCAAATCCCACCCCATAGTCACAATTCCTCCAACAAGGCCGCACCTCCTACTAGTGCCACTCCCTGTGAGATTATGTGGGCTAATTATATTCAAACTACTCCACCAATATATTTGGCCAAATAGAGGAAAAAATATCAGCAAAGGCAGATAATATTGACAACATACTACATTTAAATATCAATAAAGAAAGAAAGAAGAAGAAGAAGAAGAAGAAGAAGAAGAAGAAGAAGAAGAAGAAGAAGAAGAACTCTTGAGATACAGCCAAAAGACTAAACCTAAGATTATGTAGGAAAATACAAAGAATAGAGGTTATATTCAATGTACAACAGAAATTTCCCAATCTAGAAAAAGAGAAAATATTTAAATAAAAGAGGCATTTAGAATCTCAGATAGATGTGACTAGAGAATAACTTATTTGACATATAATACTCAAACCATCAAGCAGGGATGGAATGTTGTCTCTGGTTTAGAACACTGTTGCTCTTGAAGAGGACCTGGGTTCAAATCCTGGCAACTATGTTACAACCATCTGTAACTCCAGTTCCAGAAGAACTGATGCCCTCTTCTGGCCTCCATTAGCACCAGACACACATGCAGTTTACATATGTACATATGGTCAAATATTCATAAAATAAAATAAAATAAACTCTAAAATAATTAAAAATACAAAGTGAAAAAACAGTTTTGTAAAATATTGGGGAAAGCATCAACTCAGCTACAAAGACAGAATATGTAAGCAAGCCTCAAAGCCAAAGCATGGAGTGCTATATTTTTAAGTACTGGAAAAAACAATAGCTGATAATCAAGATTCCAATAAACAGAAAAGCTATCTTTTAAAATGGATGGAGAAATAAAGGGCATTTTGCTGTGGGATGTCTTTCTGTACACTGTGAATATATGTTGGTTTCATTGGTTGATAAATAAAGCTGTTTGGCCAATGGTGAGGCAGAATAAGGTTAGGAGGTACATTCAAACTGAAGACAGAGATGAAGAAAGATGGAGTCAGGCAAAAACTGTGAGCCACCACCAGGAGAAGCAAGATGTGAGAGAACAGGTAGTTCCATGAAGCCACATGATGAAAGATAGATTAATAGAAATGGGTTGAATAAAGTTATAAGAGCTAGTTAGTAATGAGGCTGAGCAATAGGCCATACAGTTTGTAATTAATATAAGCCTGTGTGTGTTTACTCGAGACTGAGTGGCCATGGGACCAGGTGGGACACAGGAAAACTTCCAACTGCAGCAATTTAAGATAAGCACAAACTGAAGCTGTGCATGCTCATAAAGGCAGAAATTTAAAAGATACTTAAAGGAATGGTACATATACCAATGTAATTTAGAAAATCACAAATTAATATTTTAAAAACTATAATCTTCCCTGTAGGAAAATATAAAAGAGATGAATGAATTTCTTGCTACATATGGCCTGTGAAAGTTAAATTGAGGTGAGATAAGCCATTTACACAGATATATAACAAGTGTAAGAATTTTTTGAAATATTTATTTTTAAAGGTGCTTCAAAGCAGCTTCATCCCAGAAACAGACAGATAGAAAAAACTGGACCCCTGCTAGTGTCTGCTGGTCTACTAGACCCCCCACTCAAACTGCAAGTTTAGAGTAGAAAATTAACAGCCAAGCTTACCTGCAAATGAAAGTCATGACACATAAGATTGTCACTTTCTGATCATTTAGACAATGAAGTAAAGGAAGAAGAGACCAGCATGCAGGTCTATAAGAACTGTTCTTTGTGGAGCATCATTGTTCCCACTGTTCTAGTTAGATGCTGCCTTTGCAATGTAAAATAAACTCTCTTGGTTTTGCTACTCTGTCAGTGCTGTTATTTTGAAGTAAGGGCCTACATTTTGCACAACTAGGGCCTCTCCTTATTTCTGTATTTGGGGCAAAAGCCCTTTTGTCTCTGGAGAAGGGACAACATTTTGGACTCCACTTAGAGTGTCCTATTCTTCCAGATCTTGGTCTTTCTGCAGACCTTGAGAAAATCTCAAGAGTAATTTAAAGAGAAGTGAAACTAATGCAGAATTACTTGCAGAGCTTTCCAGAAGGAAGAGACATCACAAAAGTAAAAAGCAACTTCATGCTTGAACCAAAGTAGAAATACTGGACTACAAAGTGTGGAGTGGTGACTGGTCTTTTCAGAAGAAAAGATACCATGGTAAACAAGCAAACAGCACGCATGCTGCCAAGGCAGGAAAGTTGGCCAAAAGCAATTCAGTATTCCATGGAGCCTGGATGTTTTCAGACGGTGAGAGTGTAACTGACATGGCTGTCACAGGAGTTCTCTAAAAATGGAAGACAGTGTGTCTAGGGGAATGTGAAAATCCTCCAGTGTGGAAGGTTGACTGACTCCAGAGAAGACAAGAAATAGAAGAAGGGAAATAAGTGATTAAATTTGAAGAGACACAAGGTAAAAAGATGATAATAAAACTCCTTGGTAAATTCTCCCACATAGGTCATTAGAAAGAATGTTGAGGTTCTTAGATGACAACCCATGAACAAAGGGAAATAGGAAGGAAAAATGTTTGTTTTGAATCAACTTCATGATCAAATTATTGTTTCATATGGCCAAAAGAACATATCGATTAAAAAAATAACCTCCATTTTCTGGCTGAAGTTTGAATCAGAAATGGATTAGATAAGTCAAATTTTAATCTTTTATGTTAATGATTAAATTCCACTCTTTCAGGAGGACACAGAATGTTGTAATAAGAACAAATGTCTTCTGTACCTAAAATTTCAATTATATGGTTAACATGTAAAAAAAAAGTCACTCTGTGTAATTTATCATTGCCTGTTTCTTGTTTTTAATGAGCTTTCACTACTTAAAGTCACTGATATATCTTCAGGCTCTTGCTGAATATAAAGCTTTCTCTCCTGGGCTCTGGAAAGTTGCCTAGTTGATACAGGGATGTCCCTTTCTTCTGGAAACTTTGGCAAGTCTTTCTGCATTAGTTTTTCTTCTTGAAAAATCCTCCTGGTCATTTCTGAAGTGTTGGAGAAGAACAAAGATATAAAAGAGTGGGGCACGAAAAGAAAAAAACGGAAGGCATAGTAGTGTAAAATTCCAAGAAAAAATACTTGCCTGGGACTTGCAACAGGAATAAACATTAACAGTTTAATAATATAGATACAGGTTAAATTGCTACAATGTGCATGAATGGGATTGGGATTCAATGTTTAGAGTGATAAATAAAAAAAGAAATAGTACTCCTGGAGCTCTACCAGGGACCTGGCCGTGGATCTCTGCATCTGGTTCCCTCAGTCATTGGATGGGGTTTCTAGCATGACAGTTAGGGTGTTTGGCCATCCTATCACCAGAGTAGGTCAGTTCGAGCTGTCTCTCGACCATTGCCAGTAGTCTATAGTGGAGGTATCTTTGTGGATTTCTGTGGACCTCTTTAGCACTTTGCTTCTTCCTATTCTCATGTGGTCTTCATTGATCATGGTCTCTTATCCTTGTTCTCCCTCTCTGTTCTTGATCCAGCTGGGATCTCCTGCTCCCCTAAGCTCTCTTTCCCTTCATTACCCTCACTCACATCCAGGTTGTTCATGTAGATCTCATCCATTTTTCTGTCATTGGACGATCCCTGTGTCTTTCTTAGGGTCCTGTTTTCTAGGTAGCCTCTCTGGAGTTGTGAGTAGCAGTCTAGTCATCTTTGTTTTACATCTAGTATCCTCCTGTGAGTGAGTACATACCATGTTTGTCTTTCTGAGTCTGGGTTACCTCACTCAGGATGATTTTTTCTAGATCCATCCATTTGCCTGTAAACTTCATGATGTCATGAAAGAGGAGGGTTTGTATGAGTGAGAATTGTAGAGAACAAGGTTGGATAAAGCACAGGGACAAATAGCCAAATGAATGGAAACACATGAACTATGAACCAATAGCTGAGGAGCCCCCAACTGGATCAGGCTCTCTGGATAAATGAGACAGTTGATAAGCTTGATCTGTTTGGGAGGCATCTAGGCACTGGGACCAGGACCTGTCCTCAGTGCATGTGCTGGCTCTTTGGAACCTGAGGCTTATACAGGGACACTTGGCTCAGCCTGGGAGGAGGGGACTGGACCTGCTTGGATTGAACCTACCAAGTTGAACTCAATCCTCAGGGGAGTCTTTGCCATGGAGGAGATGGGAATGGGGGGTGAGCTGGGGGGAACGTGGGGGGTGGGTGGGAGGTGGGGAGAACAAGAGAATCCATGGCTGATATGTAAAATTAAATTAAATTATAAAATAAAATAAAAAAATTGTTAGAACACAAATTAAAAAAAAGAAATAGTAAATTTGAGTCAGAGAGAATTGATGAGAAAGGTGTAAGTATAAGTTTATAATTTTTGGTAAAAACAACAAATAAACTCCAAATAAGTTACATATAGATTGTACAAGATGGAGCAAAAGGATAACAAATAGTTTGATTAAATGCTATTAAAATTTAATTGCTCGTCATAACATCTACATGAACTAGCTTAAAATATACTTATCAAAACAATTATTTGTGGTTTTTGGTATTTTTGTTAGGCTTCAACAAATTGAGGAAAATGAGTCATAACAACATCAAAAATTTATTTAAAAGTTTTTATCTTAAAACTTTATATATAATAGCTTATTGTTTTAAACAATAGTTAAAATTACAAGACTTGAAAAGCTGAACTTTCAGATGCGCAGCAATCAAACCTTGGAGGTATGCACTAATAAGGACAAGTATCAATGAGAGTACCTAATATTTTGCCCTGCAAGTTCACCCAGTACCAAAGGGATGGTGTACTTGAACTTACACTTAAAAAAAAAGATTTTACTAGACTAAGTGCCTTCATGAAGCTTTGCTTAGCATTAGAACATCTCCATGAAGCGATAAGTGCCTGTCTCCATATTAAATGTTGTATAGTTTCCCATATCTTAGTGGGTCCATGGACCTCTCTGTAGGCAGAGTTTTCCTGTCCCAACTGCTTGCTCTCATAACCAACATGGAGACTTATTTTAAGTATAAATGATTGGTCAATAGCTCGGGCTTGTTACTAACTATCTCTTACAACTTAACTCATTTCAATTAATCTTTGTGCTGTTCTGAGGCTCATGGCTTTTACCTCTATCCCATTTTGTGTGTCCTGCTCATTCTGTGTCTGGCTGGCAACTCCTCTGACTCCACCCTTCTTCCTCTCAGCATTCTCTTAATCTGTTTTTTCCATCTAACATCCTTCTGCCCAGATATAGGCCAGTAAGCTCTTTATTAGCCAATGAGAGTAATATATATATATAGTGTACAAAAAGGTTATTCCCCAGCACCTCTCTATTATGAAAATTAAGGATCAACTTTTAATAAAGTATGTGCTAGCTATATCTTCCTCTTTATCATCCTTCACAAACAAGTAATGTCTTGCTCATATCCTGTCCTCAGAATATCAATCCTAGGCCAATGACATGGTCCTGAAAAAGTTGGGAAAATAAGATACGTTCCAACTGAATTGAAATGGCCCTGGCAGTGGGATCAGGATCTATCCCTTGTGCATGAACTGGCTTTTTGGAGCCCATTACCTATGGTGGGATGCCTTGGTCAGCCTTGATGTGGGGAGGAGGGGCTTGGTCCTGCCTCAACTGAATGTATCAGCCTTTGCTGACTCTCCCTGGGAGGCCTTACCCTTTTGAAGGAGGGGATGGAAGAGGAGGAGGAGCGAGCCTCGGGTAGAGCAGGAGGAGGAATGAGAGGGTGATCTGTGGTTGGTATATAAAATGACTAAAATGTTTTAAATAAAAAAAGAAAAGGCCCCTTTCAAGTGCTTCAGACAACTGATACTGCCAAATGTCAGCAGAAAAGGATGGACTCTTTCCTTTTACTTGAGCTAAGAGGTATAATTTTAAAGGTTCTAAAAGGAAAAAGAAAAAGACTGGTGGGAAGTAGGTGGGGTACCCAGGGAATCTTTAAAGTTAACTCTAAGAATAAAGCTACTAGAGAACCTCTGGTAATTTCAAGAATTGTGTTTTATATGCTTGTCTATTTATCTCATCCAATGGGGGATCTTGGAGCCTGTACCCATGTCCTAAGTGTCTCAATGACAAGAGGAAAAACCACAAGTGCTCTGTGCTCAGTGTTTCTTAAGATAACTCATGATGGCACTATGAAAGACAAAACCTTCACTATAGCTTACTAAAAAGCTACTGTGGGACCAAAATACTAATACAATTGCCATACAGTTTCCCCTGGATTTCAATGCTCTTAATGAAACTGATTGTTGGACTAAATGGCCTACACCTAAGTCCTTTGTTCTCCATGTCTACAATGACTTCATAGAAATTTCAAGAGAGCAACCCAAATATATTTAAGGCTAAGGTCAAATACTACAAAACATTAATCAGATCTATTCTGGTGCTCAAATATCAATAAAAGTATAGACATGATAAACTGCATCTATTATACTCAAGAGAATGAATTGATACTTCCAGATTGTAAAACAAATATGTTTTATAATAAAGATATCAAGAACATATAAATTAATTTTAAAGAACAAAATAAATATGAGAAGGAACTAAAAATAATAAAAAGAAAAAGAATGGAATTATAATAAATAAAAAGTAATGGTTTTGGTCATAGTGTTTTATGAAAGCATTCAAAACTCTAAAACATCCTTCTACATCTGCTAATAAGACATTCCCCCATCCAAATTCTAATCTAGCCAATAATCAGCCTTTCTCTGTGGCTTCAGCTTTAGTTGCTGCTTCTAGGTTCCTGTTGTGAGTTACTATCCTGTCTTCAATGATGAACTATGATAAGGATGTGTGAGACAAATAAACCCTTTCCTCCCCAAGGTGATTTAGTCATTGTGTACTTATTACAGAAATAGAAAATTAGGATCATATGTATCTATATGACCTACCTGGTCTTTTGGTTAACTTGACACAAACTAGAATAAGACCCAATGATAATTAAGAAAGTATCTCCATAAAATTGGCCTGCAGGTAAGCCTGTGAGTCATTTTCTTAATTAGTGATAGGTGTTTTTTGAACCCAATGCATCATCGGTGGTACCAATCCTAATCAGATGGCCCCATGATATGTAAGATAGTAGGCTAAGCAAGACATGGTAAAAAAAAGTCAGTAAGTAATGTTCTACCTTGTTTTCTGCTTCACTTCATGGCTGCAGGTTCCTGCCTATACTTTCCACAGTGATGGACCATGACCTGAAAGTTGTGAAATGAAATAAACCCTATCCTAGCCAAGTTTATTTTAATCATGGTGTTTTTATCAGAGCAATAGAAACTCAAACAGACAGAAATTGATACTACCAGGTTTATGGGATATTGCTGTGACAGATATAACCATGTTTTTGATGGATTATGGAAATACTTTAGAACTTAAGGCTAGAAAAGCCATTGACTAGTCAGAGCTTAACGGACTATTATGGGAAGTAAGAAGACAGTGCTAAGAATCCTGACTTATATGGGAATCATTTAGAAATTCTCTCCAGGCCATTCCATAATTTGAATTAAAAATATGTTCAGAAAAACTGGGGCTGAAGAAACAGTTATGATTGACAAGAGGCTAGCATCATTGGGGGCAAATGTGGAAATATTTCCACAGTGTCATCACTCAGAAGCCATGGTCCAGAGAAGGCCAAGGCTGTACCTAATATGGAGGTTGTCAAACTCGGTAATGTGCAAAAGTCTCCCAGAAGATACCTCTTTGAAGGGCTCATGTAAAGGAACTAAGACTTGGCACAATGAGAGGACAGAAGAAGCCACTGATGAATGTGCAGAGCCAGTTGAAGTAGAAGTCCCAGGATTAATGGATCATGGAGAGAAAATGATGTTTTTCACCATGCGCCAGAACCATAGTCACCAAAGAGAGTTCAGGAAAGGCTATTGATGGAGGTGCAAACTTGTAGATACTACATTTTGAAGATGCCGTATCATGGCTTAACAACCAAGTAGTACAGCAGCAACTATTAAGAGATGTTCTATGCCTAAATATATTTGTGACAATATATGTGTGCTGTGGAAAATGATTAGAGAAGCAGCATTATAAAGACCTTTATAGCCCAGAGGATCATGAATTCATGCCACACACTTTCTATAATGCTGAATAATGAATTTAATTTAGATTGATTATGACCATGTCCTGGATTTTCACTGTTGGAGTAAGAAAAGTATTTGACTTATTATTTAATTTTATAGTACCCTACATTTGGGAGACTTTGGATATTTTAGAGTGTTTTGAACTTTGAAAGGACATTGGATGTTTAAAGCATCAGTTCTCAACGTGTGTGTTGCTACCCCTTTGGTGGGATGCTGAATAACCCTTTCACAGTATATACCAGATATACTGCATATTAGATACTTACTTTATGATTCAAAACTGAAGCAAAATTACTGTTTTAATGTGGTAATGAAAATAATTTTATGGGTATGGGTCACCACAACATGAGGAACTGTATTAAAGGGTTACAGCATTAGGAAAGCTGAGAATCACTGTTTTAAAGAGACTGAGCTTTTAGAGTGTTTGAATTTTTAAAGACTGTGGGACTTAAATTTTGAAATGTGTTTTATATTGAGGAATTGATATTAATGTGAGATCTTATAGATGATCAAAAAGAGAAATGCTATAATTGGATAGTAATGTGTTTGTGTGTGAATTTGATGAGAGGTCGATTGTTCTGATTGGCTTTTATCAACTTGACATAATCTAGAGTTTTCTTAGAAGAAAGAACTATAACTGAGAAAATGTTTTCTTATGACTCCCCTATAGGCAAGCTTGTTGGGCATTTTCTTACTTAGTAATTGATGCAGGAGGACCCAGCCAGTCAGATCTGGTACCACTGTTGGGTAAGGTGTCAGCAGTGTATGAAAATGCAGGCTGAGCAATCCACGAGGAGGATACTAGTAAGTACCGTTCCTCCATGACTTCTGCTTCAGTTCCTGCTTTCATGTTCCTACCTCAAGTTCCTATCTTGACTTCTTCCCCTGATATCTTTAACATATATCTTTACCAAATAAGGTAAAAAACAATAACAACAACAAAAATAGACCAAGGAACTAAATAAAATTCTCAAAAGAAGAAATGAAAATAGCCGATATGCATTTTTAAAAGTTACTACTTTGAGATTCTATCTCACCCCTGTCAGAATGCTTATCATCAAGAAATATAATGGTAACAAATTCTAGCAAGAGGTACCCTTATTATCCCTTGGTGGAAATGTATACTGGTTCAACCATGGTGGAAATCACTGTTACAGTTTCTCAAAATATTAGAAATAATAACTAGCAAATGCCCCAGTGTAACACCCATACGCATATGCCCAGAGGATTCCACAGTCTACTATAAATGATACTTGTTTAGACATGTTTATTGATGGTCTTTTTAAATAACCAGTAAATGTAATCAGCCTAGACGTTCATCAATAGATGAATGGTTAGATCTAAACAGACAATTCACAACAAAGAAAACTCAGGTGGCTGAGAAATACTTAAAGGAATGCTGAACATTCTTAGGGAAATACAAATCAAAGTTACTTGAGATTTAATCTTATACCTGTCAGAATAACTAAGATAATTAATACACATAACAGCTCAAGCTGGCAAGGATTCAGAGAATGTGAAACATTCC